TGCATTTTTGAATGGTTATATTATGGAGGAAGTTTATGTAGAACAACCTCCCGGATTTGAAAATGTAGAATTTCCTCATCATGTCTATAAGTTGAAAAAGGCTCTTTATGGCTTAAAACAAGCTCCAAGAGCTTGGTATGATAGACTTAGTAATTTTCTTATTGGGAATGATTTTAAAATGGGCAAACTCGACACTACACTCTTTATTAAGATTAAAGAAAACGATATGCTATTAGTGCAAATATATGTGGATGATATCATATTTGGTTCTACTAATCCTTCTTTATGTGAAGAATTTTCTAAATGTATGCATAGTGAGTTTGAGATGAGTATGATGGGAGAACTCAGTTTCTTTCTTGGACTTCAAATCAAACAACTCAAGAATGGTATCTTCATCAATCAAGAGAAATACACTAAAGATTTGCTCAAAAGATTCAAGTTCAATGGAGGTAAGATTGCAAGAACTCCCATGAGCACATCCACTAAGCTTGACAAGGATGAAAAAGGTAAAAGTGTGGATATTAAAGCTTATCGAGGTATGATTGGATCTTTACTTTACTTGACCGCTAGTAGACCCGATATTATGTTTAGTGTATGTCTTTGTGCTAGATTTCAATCTTGTCCTAAGGAATCTCATTTACATGCCGTTAAGAGAATATTTAAATATTTGCTTGGAACTATTGATCTAGGATTGTGGTATCCTAGAAATGTTGAATTTAAATTGGTAGGATATTCTGATGCAGATTTTGCCGGAAGCTTACTTGATCGTAAAAGTACTAGTGGAACTTGTCAATTTCTTGGTAGTTCCTTAGTTTCTTGGTTTAGTAAAAAGCAAAATTCGGTTGCCTTATCTACTACCGAAGCGGAATATATTGCGGTTGCTAGTTGCTGTGCTCAAATTCTTTGGATGAAACAAACTCTTTGTGATTTTGGATTAAAGTTTCATAGTGTGCCTATATTTTGTGATAATACAAGTGCTATTAATTTAACTAAAAATCCTATTCATCATTCTAGAACTAAACATATTGACATTAGACATCATTTTATTAGAGAGCATGTGCAAAATGGACATATTATTCTTGATTTTGTAAACTCTAATAATCAACTGGCCGATATTTTCACCAAGCCATTGAATGAAGAAATTTTTTGCAAAAATAGGCTTGAGCTTGGTATTATTCGTTGTGATATATCTTGAATTTTATAATTTTTGAATGCATGTTTTTAGGGGGAGCCATTATGTCATTATTAAATGCATTCTCTTTCAATTGTTCATTTTGATGATTACAAAGGGGGAGAAAATTAAGAAAAATATGTTCTAAATTTGTTATTTTATAATTTATGAATCATTTACTTGGTATTTCATAATTTCTTGAGGCATTAATATAAGGGAGAATATGCTCTTGAGTGAAATTTATGATAATATATTAGTATGTAGTGATATTATTACATGGATGTTGTATTATTGGTTTTTATGAATTTTTCTTTAAATGATTTGTCATCATCAAAAAGGGGGATATTGTTGGCTTATTGGCCCTTGATCTCACATTAATTAATTTCAATGAATTAATTATTGATGTTTTGATGATAACAAACCTACTTTTAATTATTAACTATTTTCAGTTTTTTGAACTGTCCACAGTATAAGGTCGGGAATAACGATTACAACAACTTTTCAATTACTCAAATCAGAGCTAAAACGAAGAAATTAGAGTCGAGACAACATACCCGACGTGATGATGTGGCAACAAAATCAAAATGATGGACAAATCAAAATATATCAAAGTATGACATTTATAATATTGGAAGAGTAACACATGGTGGAGTTTTTCTTATTATTACATTTCTAAATAAAATTATTTTTACAAATATAAATTTGAATATAACCGTTACTCACATCGAATTTTATTATTACTATATTATATTATTATATTATTATATTTTAAAATTTTGGTAGTTACTCACATCATTTTTATTATTATTATATTATTATATTTATAATAAATTTTGAATTACATTTTACCGTTACTCACATAACTTTTTATTATTATTATATTATATTACTATTATATTAAAATTTTGAAATAAATGAATTTAGAAAATTTTCTTACTTAATTACTTTTAATCTCCACCTTCCATTATTCCTAACACAATCCAATGGTCAATATTCAATCCTACATTTTGCCACTTTTCTCCTCTATATAAACTCATCTTCCCCACATTTTTAAGATATACAACTTACATACATTCTTCAATCCTCATTTGTTCAAAGTCTCCATTGTTTATTGCTCTCTCCAAGCTTACAAGTTTATTTCTTTTCATCTTATTCTTGAGAGGGATTATTATTATATTGTGAGGAAATAGTTGTCAGTATCCCAAATTGTAAATCTACTCTTTGAGAGAGTTGTGGTATGTTATTATCAAACTCAAATACTTGTATCGGTTTGATCCTGCGTCGTTGAAAGGATTGAGTTTGCTCTTGAACTCGTAAAAAGAGCGGTGTACCGGTTTGGCTCTGATCCGTGGAAAGAGTCGGAAAAGTTCTTTATTCAAATTCCCAAGAGGCGCTTGGGGAGTGGAGTAGGTCGAGTTTGACCGAACCACTATAAAACTACGGTGTCATTTTCTCTAACTCTTTCCTATTTAATTTCAAGATTATTATTATGTTTATTGCATGTTCTACTTGATTATTGTTTTGACTTGAATTATTTTGCTTTAGTAATTATCATCTTCTACTTATTTGTAAAAAGTTTTATCATTAAAAAAAATTAATCAAGTTTAAACACTTTTATCGTTAAAACCCTATTCACCCCCCCTCTAGGGTTGCCATACCGATCCAACAGTGTCATGGTCTCAAATTGCATTGTCATCATCGTTAGAGGGATGTCTTACCTTTACCTTGAAAAGAAGTAACACAGTACTTGAGTATTTTAAGAAATACTGAGTAACTTAACTGACCCACAGTTGAGGTCAATGAATGTAAACACATGCAACTCATGATTTAAGGACCTATCATTTAAAAATCATCATAGGGGTAGCCTCCATTTCGGACAAAAATTGAATGTGTAGTACTTTCTTACACACAAACCACACATGCGAGCGTGGATCCTTAGGTAATTCGTTCGCACCCCCTAGGCCCATCATAGACGAGCTAGTTGTCCGTAGTGACATTTGAAAGTTAGAAGACCCCTGAGTGTCATGTGAGGCATGATCATTATTTTCATCAAGCGTACGCGTCTGTACTCATTATCGTAAATGGGAAAATATCCTTATGTACATGTACACCCAAAACGTATAAAGTTCCTATAGTTTTCATCTTTAAATCATCTTTGTGACACAACCCTATACACCGTTCATATATTACTCCAAGCGACACGTAGGTGTTGGTCTTCATACACTCATCATCATTAACTTCAATTAGGGTTGTCTTTAGAAAATGAATCATCGTCATAATACATCATGACAATCAAAACATGTACGTCATCTTGATATGGAATAATGTCATGCTAAGCCATCTCACCATCATACAATCTTACGTCATCATATTATCATACATCATCATTATTATGCTGTCATCATCATATCATCATAATATACGTTATCATAACATCATACATCATCCTTATAATGCCATTGTCATCATATCATCATCAAATAACGTCATTATAATATCATACATCACCATTATTATGTCGTCAACATCATATCATCATCATGTACGCCATCATAACATCATACATCATCCTTATTATGACATCATCATCATGTCATCATCAAATAACGTCATTATAATATCATGCATCATCATCATTATGTCATCATCACAATATCATCATCAAATAACGTCATCATAATATCATGTCATTATTATAATTTAGTCAACACATCACAACATATAAAACATAAATGACATGTGTCAGCACCACTAGGCACGTGTCGTCATACATAAGACGAATCTTTCAATCGAGCCGATAGTAAGATCACTTATTTGATTAGCTTAGGCTAGTGTCACCAATTTATCCTCCATGAAAGTTCAATGTTCTTTATATCAAAGTCAACCTATGTGAATCCATAACATTAATTTCAAGTTCAATTCTCTACCTTTTACCATGGTCAATGTGTTAGACTTTCATGCGAGCATAAAAAATTTGGCATTACTTTTTTGCCATATTTCAAAATTCAATTATTCTTCCATGTCTATCCTCAGTCATCTTGACGATACATATTAAACAAAAACGGTCAATATTATTCCACAACTTGAATCAACAAAAATCAACAAGTAAAATGATAACTAAAGTCTAAATAGTTGAAACATGATAAAAGAAAAGGAACGTCTTAACTTACCAATAAACTTTAAACTTTTCTATTTATGTTCGTGTTTTTTTGTTCTGCAAGAATCACCGACTAAAAAAATCTATCATTTTTGTTTTTTTTTCCTCTCCAAGTTGTGTTTTTTTTTTCTCTCGCAAAATTACTGATACAATTCTACCGTTGGAGAAGGTGTTTAGGGATATTTGGGGATGGAGGTGCCAGAGATGAAATCAGTTACAATTTTATTATATATATAACCAAGATTGATCCAAATGCTCAATTTTTGGGAACCAGGAGCAGCCATCAACCAAAATATCACCAAAAGAATAAAATCAAACCAAAATGACCAACCATCGTTGGTTTCACATGATTTTGTCTTGCGCCTCAACTGGCATCATATTTTTTGCTTCAATAACTCAAAGTGGCCACCAAACTATGCATAGTATGCATCCATTGAATGAACGAACGAGTACGGCCTATGCAGTTTGGAATATGCAAAAAGACTTCACCCCTCAACCCAAAAATTTCCTTTTATCTACCAATATCACCACCCAAAAACATTGAGCAATAGAGAGTAAAAATACTTTTAATCATAATCTATGGTACTTGTCAAAAAACGAACAAGAACAAGAAGAAAGAGACTGATATCGATAGGGAAACGACTGAAGCCTATTTACCTTGTGAAAGAATAGTGAAACCCGAGTTAGAAGTGAAATTTACCAAGCAAAAAAACTTTCTCATTGGACATCTTTCTAACGCTCCACTGTCTTGATTAACAACTTGAGTCAAATCTGGAAGGATTAAACAGACCCTTATTCTGTACAATGCTCAAAAAATGTACAAAAATAATTACAAATACTATCAGATTTTGTATGCCTATGGTGAGTTCTACAAGACCAATTCGACAGTAGAGTGCAGAGAAGTAATTGAATAAGCGTATAAATATGGCAACCTCTACCTACCTGGTTAGCAGAAGAGCCAGCTTAGCCAAGGAATGCGGACATCTCAAATGTTGGAACTAGCAAGACATCGCAGCTGGCGCGCCACTCATAGAACATCCTGGATTCTCCCAGCAATTCATAAATAACGAATTATAGTCTAGCCCTGATGCCAGTTTGGTTTGAACAGAGACAAGAACAGTCTGGTTTATCAACTTCTCTATGAATCACCCTCTTTTCACGATTAATCATTAGCTTAATGAGAGGTAACTTCTGTGAGACTTGACGCCATATTTCGTTCACTGTGCCATTTGAGTTTGTATACTCGAAGTATCTCTTTACCTGAGTAACATACATCAAGTACAAGAAACTTTATTCATATGTTGTTAGGAATCACGGATCTCTACAATGATATGATATTATCCACTTTGAGCATAAGTTCTCATAACTTTACTTTGGGCTTCCCCAAAAGACATTATACGAATGCATGATCATTCCCTAAATTAGCCAATGTGGCAATCCTCACAATCCTCCCTCCCCTCGAACAAAGTACACTATAGAGCCTCCCCTGAGGCCTATGGAGCCCTCGAACAACCTCCCTTTAATCGAGACTCGACTCTTCTCTGGAGTCCTCAAACAAAGTACACCCTTTGTTCGACATTTAAGTCACGTTTGACTACACTTTCGAGGCTCACAACTTCTTTGTTCAATATTTGAGGATTTTATTGACATGTCTTTGATATCATGTTAGGAATCACAGATCTCCACAATAGTAAAATATTGTCCAATTTGAGCATAAGCTCTCATGACTTTGCTTTGGGCTTCTCCAAAAGACCTCATACCAATGCAGATGTATTCCTTATAAACCCAGGATCATTCCCCAAATTAAACAATGTGAGACTCACTCCCAACAATCTTCAACATGACTTAACTATTTACTCGAACTAACAAATTCATTCCAACTTCTTAAGAGTGCTTAGATTAAAAAGAAAAGTTTATAAAACTTTAGAAAACTTTATAATGAATTGAACCACAGAAGTTTACAAAAGAAAAGGATTATTCATAATAATACTAACCTCTTTCATTTCTCTCTGATAGTCCAGAATCCTCTGTTTAGAGATTTTCCTCAGCTTTGAAACTAAAAATCCAGGTTTCACAGCAGAAACCGAATCGAAAAACACAGCAATCTTGGAGTAATCTATAACATCTTCAAAAGGCAACTCAATTCTATCACTGACAATCACTGGTACACACAAGCTTACTACAGAATCAAAGAGTCGACAAGCAGAGGGAGTGTCACCAGCAGGGTTCAAGCAGAACTTAGATGTATGCATACCATGTGTAGCAGCACGCCTATTCTCTCTTGATTGTGTTCCATGTTTGATTATGACATTCCGTTCTTTCTCAAGTATATTAAAAAGCATATCACGAATTTTTCCTCCCTACACACACAATAGAATCACCAGGAACAAAATTCAGCTTGATTTCAACTCTCGCGTTTCTTTTAACACTAAATTATTCACAGTAAATTGCAAAAGTGTTTTGAAAGGGAATTCCAAAGAGAAGACTGCAACTATAATATCTAAAAACAAGCATTTCTACATCAATACAATAACCATTGTTAATTTCTAGGCATTTCATAAATTTACCTCTTTACGGTATCGATTGCCCATGAAGAACAGCAAAGTCTTGCGATTCTCAATTCCAATATCACCATTATATGTATTGATCCTATGGGAGTATGGTATAATCACGTCCTTCACGAGTGAAGCTTGGTCTGATCTCAACCGGCCGAAATCCGAAATGAGTAATATGCTGCTTTTAACCATATCAATCACCTTGTACAATGCATTTGGGTCCTGCGCTATAATGACATGATCCCGCCCATTGTTCCGCTTCCAGTACTCCTGCTTCTCCAACCACTCCATCAAAGCCTTCTGCGTCTCCTCGTCGCTGTACGCAAGCTTCCGCTGCTGCTGATTCGACCCTGCCGCAGGTCGAATAGGGTTGACGATCAAGCTTAAGGACGAGAAGAACGGAACATAGAACAAATCCGCTTCCTCAGGATCCATCACCCTAACCACAGCAGACTCAACACGCTCCGACTCCGGTCGAAGCAGATCCGAGAACAAAAACCATTCCGCCATGTGCTGATGGCCTGGATACTTGAGCTCCGTGATTTTACCATTGGTCTTTCCTCCGCGCGCTATGCCGTGGTTCTCAATTACACCAAACGTAAACCTCGTCGGCACATCGTAGAGATAAATCTTCAGAGGCAAAACCGATTTGCCTGAACTATTGGGGAAATCAGTTTCTTGAGAATCAAGCTCATCCGAAACCATGACGGAATTAGCAATGTCGAAGGGGAAGGAGCGGTCGAGTTTCAGAGTGGCGGTGGAGCTGATTAAAGTGTTGATGATGGCGTATAGGGCGAGAATAAAGCAGAGAGAAGCTAGGGTTTGCTTGAGAAGAGAATATTTTCGCGCCATTGTCGGAGAAAACAGAGCTGGGATTTTTGAGAGTTTGCAGAACAGCAGGGAAGGAGGAAACCGAGGAAGACGATACCTGGTTTTAATGGCGCGCGTGGAAAGCGTATTGAAAAGTCTCCGTGTGGAAAGGGTAACAATTAAAGTCCCGATTTGGAGTTCGTGATACTTTTAGCTCCCTTAAAACGACGACGTTTCCAAGTTCAATATGTGAGAGAATATTTTGGTATTAATTTTTGTTCAATTGTCTGTCTCAAGTCGAAGTCGAACAGTGAAGCCCTTGTTTTATTACCCTAATCTAGTGAATCTCTCGATGTAAAGGGGAATCCCGAGTCACATTTTGCTATTAATTTTTTATCAATTGTATGTCTCAAGTCGAAGTCGAAGTCGAGCAGGCATATGTCATAGCATAACATAACATTATGACACATGCATGTGCCACGAGTATGTGTCATTATACATCATGCAATTCTTTCACCACCAACAGTAAAGTCACTTGTTTGTGTAGCCTTGGTTCGAAGTCCATAACTATTTTATAACTGCTCTGAGATTGTCCTTCAACATTCAAAATTGTTATTATTGTTTATTCAGTAAAGATTGTTATTGAATAAAGTGAACTTTATGATCATTAATCTAAATCCAATAAACTAAGAACACTCTGACTATAGTATGATTACTTGAACTATATGTAGAGACATAAGAGTGGATCAAGTTCAAGTATATAGTCAAAATGATCTGTAATATAAGGATAAGGTTGAGTACCTTATTTTGGAGACATTATGGATGTGGCCCACTTTTGTATATGATATAAAAAATGTGATCACTAAAATTGTACATGTGGAGACATGTGAGTGGGGGCGTCCTATGCAATGAGTATTGCATAAGATCGGACCATGAAGAAAATCACTCTCACTTTATAATGTCGTTTATTGTTGAGACTAATTTTCTTTTCATTCGATGACCTAGGTAACTCGATCTTAATCTTGAGCTAACAATGAACTCCTGTTTATTCGGAATTATCCTTAGATTTGCATGGGTGAGAATGGCTCAAGTTTGCCGACTCAATAGGCCTCCCATTTCAGGGGTAAGACTGGGTAAATGGCTGGGGACGTGGGGTGCAAGATGGAATTCACTCCTACCCACTTTTAGGGATAGAAGAAAGGTAGTTCCCTTAAGTACTGACTCGAGGTCTTGAACAAGGGGCCCCACCCTTTCATTGGCCTGAAAGGGATTCGGTTTACTGGTTGGACCACAAACCAATTGTTCATTAGAGGATCAGTGAGATATAAAGAACAAGAAGTAACTTCAGAGATAAAACGGTAAATTGACCCAACTCTAGTTACGAACAACCTGTGAAGGATCGACTTACTAATCATGATTATATCAAATGGACAAAAATATATATATAGTGAGGGGAGTGCAACTACTAGGCTATAGTGGAATGCCCTAGTAGTTAACGAATGTTGGTTAACAAGGTTAATGAGTTTAACTAGTTAATCTTGGACGTTGGAGCCCATGATTTATAGATCCATTAGGTCCCTCTGCTAGCTCATATCGGACTAAACCATAGAACAGTGCGACGAGTGAGTTTGAAGTGTTCGAATTCAAATTAGGGAGAATGCGCTACATATATGATATATTTAACCGCATTTTTGTTTTATTTACGAATTAAACAAAAAGAGAGAATATGAGATATTTAAATAAGATTTAAATATCTTAATCAAATATGTGTCAGAATTAATTGAGATTAACATTTGAATTAATATTAAATATTAATTAAATAGTTTAATATTAAATATTAATTAAATAGTTTAATTAATCATTACTTTAATTTGAAATTAATAATTCAAATGGATGGTTGAATAAAAATGAAGAAAGTCAAAATGTTTACTTTATTTAATGGAAAAATCCATGTTAGTGGAATTTTGAGGTGTCAAAATTTGGGTTAACCAAACTTACATACTTGCCAAATAAACACCACAAATTTGATTGGAATTTTGAGTGTCAAAATTTGGTGATCTCAAATTTGCATGAACATGCAAACATGACTCTATAAATAGAGTGATCATAATACATGAAAGGTCTTCTTGTTGGTGAAAAACCTTGAGAAAAACCTCTCACAAACACTCTTTTCATATATACAAAATTCCTCCCAAGTTTAGTCACTCTTCGGATTCCACAATCCCGTTCTAAGGCCAGAGGATAGTGGAGAAGACACTAGTGGTAGTTCGAAACCGGTTCGTAAGGAAAAAGGAATTTGAACTACAAAAGATTAGAATTCAAACTCATTAAGTTTTAATACTTATGAACATGCTAGCTAATTTACTATAATTGATGTTCTAAAAGTGCCTAAGATCCAAATTGCTTCCACATGTGTTATATTAATACCATCAATTTCGGCCACCATTCATTCACCAATCACACACATAACAGAATTGAGAGCACTCCTAAAGCACTTGTGTTGCTATAACCTACTTAAATCTTAGATCGAAGCGCATCAGTAACTTAGATCACTCTCTCTCTCGGGAGTCTCTAAAAAATGTGTTGTTAGATGCAGAGAGAAAGTGAGAATGTGTTGGGTGATCGAGGGTGTGAGGGGTGGAAGCTTATCAAAATGTGTTGTTAGTTGCCCCTAAACTTTTATCCTAGAACCGCTTTGGGTATTCCTCTCTCATTTCATTCTCCTGTTTTTGTGTGGTTTTCTCTCTTTGATGATTTCTCTAGAACACTTTGACAAAAGCGATGTACCTAGTACATAGAGTTTTTACCTCACAAGCCAAGATCCTCACTGACCTTTCTTGGTAACTCAAGCCTTCAGCCACCTCTAAGGACTCATAGTCTATCACATGCATTGGATTGGACAAATACTTATGGAGCATAGATACATGAAATACGTTGTGCACTGCTGAGAGGAACAATGATAGGGTTAATCTATATTTCACAAGTTCGATCCGATCTAAGATCTCAAAAGGTCTGATGAAGCGTGGGTTCAACTTGCCTTTATGCCCAGACCTCAGGCCACCTTTCATCGAGGCCATCTTCAAGAACATCATGTCGCCCACCTCAACCTACGCCTTACATTTGCATAACTCTACTGTTTATTCTAAGTAGTGCGCATTCTTGCCCTGATCTTTTGCACTGCCTCATTGGTAACGTGGACTAATTTGCGACCCATCAATTTCTCATTCCCCTACTTCATCTCAACACAATGAAGACATGTATCGTTTTCCATATAAAGCTTCATATGGTGTCACGCCAATAGTTGTTTAAAAATTGTTGTTGTAGACGAATTCCATGTGGTATAGCTTTGAGTCCCAACTAACTGTGAAGTCTAATACACAGACATGCAACACATTTTATAGAATCTGGTTTAAACATTCTGTTTGACCATTTTTCTATGGATGAAAAGTTGTACTAAAATCGAGGTGAATACCCAATGTCTTTTGAAGACCGCACAAAAAAACTGACGTAAAACGTGAATCTTGATCTGATAAAATTGACACAGAAACTCCACACAGCTTAACAATTTCTTTCGTGTATAATTGTGCTCAATTGTCCATTGTACATGTGACTTTACTAGAAGAAAATACGCTGACTTGGTCAATCTATCCACAATTATCCATATGACTGAGTATCCTTTCAACATCCCGGGTAATCCTACTATGAAATCCTTAGCTATATTCTCTCATTTTCATTTCGGCATACTAAGGGGTTTTAACAATCCTGCCATTCTCTGTCTAGGTGCCTTGACCTATTGGTATACTAGGCATTTACTTACAAATTCTGCTATATCCTTCTTCATGTTATGCCACCAAAAATGTTGTTTTAAATCTTGATACATCTTGGTGCCACCAGGGTGCATGTAGAACGAGAATTATGAGCCTGGACTAGGATCTCATTTTTCAACTCTTCCACTACTGGCACACACAAACCTCCTTTAATCTACCATTAGATGATTTGGAGAAAGAGTTGATGACTTGGAGAATTTGGCGTACAACTTGTTCTCTCTTAGAACCGTCAGTACTTTTTGAAGATGCAACTAATGTCCCTACTCCGTCTTAGATTATACCAGAATATCGTCTATGAACACTATGATAAAAGTGTCCAGAAATTCCTTGAATACTCAATTCATCAACTTTATGAACATGATCCATCCGTGGCAGAGCCAGATGTATCTGTCATTGGGTTATCAAATCTCAGATGTGCAACAAGGGCATTAGTAAGTCCAAATGACATAACCAAAAACTCATAATGGTCATATCTTATTCTGAAAGCTGTCTTCGGCTTCGACACATTTTCCTTTTTTAACTTACTGATGGTAACTTGATCCTAGGTCTATCTTACAGAATATTGTTGCTTCCTGAGCTGACCAAATAAATCCTCTATGCATGGAAAGGGATAAATGTTCTTTACTATTCTCTTGTTTAACTTCCTGTAATCAATGCACAAGCATATTGAGTCATCCTTTCTTTTCACGAATTATCACTGGTGCAACGTATGAAGATACACTGGGACTGATAAAGCCTTTATCCAGTAGTTCTTGCAGTTGTGCCTTGAGTTTCTTTAGTTCTACTGGCGCCATGCGATATAAGGCCTTGAAGATAGGCCTGGTGTCTGGTTCAAGCTCTATCTCGAAGTCCACATCTTGAGAAGGAAAAATTTATGGTATATCCTTTAGAAACACATCTAGGAAATCACTTACTACTGACACTCTCGACAAGGGTGTTTCTTCCATTTTGATATCTACAGCACTAGCCAATATAGGCCAAGCTTCGTGCTGGACCAACTTTCTCGCTTTTATCATCAACACTACTTTAGGCATAGTCCCAAACACGTACCCTTGAATTTAAAGTTAGTCTTGGATAGTGGCGTAAACACTCCTTCATTCCTATGAAAATCAATACTAGTATAGTTCTCAGCTAACCAATCCATGCCAAGTATTATGTCGTAGTCAATCATATTAATGACCATTAAGTTTACTTCTAAACTCTTTTCTGACACTATTACTTAGACTTTCTTTTACTTTATTTGAAGCAATCAAGTCTAGCTCTATAAGGGTGCTAATAAAAAATTCATGCAACAAAGGTTCTAATATAAATCTTGATTGACTAGTGAAAACAATAGAT